AGGTGTAATAACTTAGCATATTTATCACCTGATAATTCATTTAATATATTGATATATTATCCAATTACCCATTTAATAGCTTTCCCACTATATTATAGAACTAGTTATTGCCTGTGTCTGAAGACACAGAGTAATAAAAAATGCACTTAATCTCCACCTAATCTAATGCATTAAAAAGTTAAGAGTAAATTTGGAAGAAAAAATATTAATTATGTTTTGGTTTTATAAAACGACAGATATTATGGAACAAAAAAAATTATGTATAACGACAGATATTTAAGAACGGAGGGAGTATATAGATTAAAACTTTTAATTAAGATGTAGAATTTGTAATCACACGGATCATATTGTCAACCCATTTAATTGTGATTTGCACTCATTTATTNTGGAGTACGTTGACATCTTCTCATCGTGGAACCGTCCAAAGCCTCTAATACAATGTAGCCGATCTTTGCTGGAAAAGTGTTCGTATTAGTTTATACGTATGTTGATTAATTTTTTTTTTTATTCAGTTAAAAGTAGATTATTTATACCAAAATTAAAGTATTTATAAATGATAAATCTCTTAAAACTTGTCAAAATTCAAACTTAAAAACGTTTAAGTTTATAATTTATTATTTCTATTACTTGAGCTAACCCTTAGAGTTAATATAGAAGACCTTGTGCACGGCCATTTTGTGTAAAGTGNTCTCTATCCCTCTCTTAACTCATCGTGATAAAAACAAATTTTTTCACTATCAATTATACGATTCAAATTCAATACGATAACAACTTAAAAATAATATGATTGAATGGTTTAGTTTCTTGTAAATTACAAGTAACTCATTTTTAAAAAAGATAAACTCATTAAATTATTAAATATCTTATTTCTTACTCTCGTGCTATATAATGAATTGCTGTATAGTTCATGAGTTTCTGATTTGTTTCATTAGAGTCTGGATTAAGTAATTTTTAAATGTATGAGGAGCCTCTGTGTATTAGAATTGATTGAGAAAGCAAACAACTCCAAGTAATAGGGTATATATTTAAAGAGTTACAGGTTTTCGGTCCTAATTGATACAAACATGATAAGATTTCAAGAACGATATTGTATTGACATAACTTAATTGACATCACTAATATGTTACCATCAACTAATTTTACTGGGCCCACCCAAAATGAAAAACTCACATGGATCAGTACTCGAGATTATAATGATTTTTATCTAATTAAATGTGATCGAATAATACGTTATTTTATATATATATATATATATATATCCAAATATATATTAATCCCAATTTCATGATTAGGATAATTTAACGATACAAAAATGTTGTAAAAATAATAACAATTTACAATATTGATGAGACACTCCTGAGAAGGTAATAGATTGTCAACATGTGTTCTCGGCGCTGAAAGTACTCCCTTTCATTCTAACTAGAGCACGTGTCTTCGACACAAGGGGCCCGTCTTCTACTCTTGTGAAAACACGTGTCATAGGCTCCGATGCCACTTGTTTCTGGCTACGAGGGTACCTCCACCCCGAGGTATGATAGACTCATGTCCTTGGCTCTGAGGTACATCCCCCCTCTCCCCCTCCCCCCGAGCAACTGCATGTTCTCAACTCCAGGAGTACTTGCTGGAATTTTGGTTCCGCCGCGTATCTCCTACTTCTGAAAAAACTACTGATTGACAACTATTAGCTGATAGCTAGTCATTTTTAGTTGGACTAGGGATGATGGTGGTGTTCTGCACAATAAAATTAGGATGACAGAGCCAACAAGACACTCAGTCAAGGGGGAGTTGGGCACGTGACATAAAAGTGTAGAGTTAGGGGTAAAAAGACAAAAATGCCCCTGCTGATTTATGGCTATCCCAGACAAACATTTAATAAATCCTCAGTGATGTGATATCCACAGTAAGCTTGAGAAGTCGAGGATATGAAGTATTAAATGCTCTGAGTTTCAAACATTTAAAGTTTTTAAATCGAAGAAAGAGCATTAACTATTTGGGAGCTCGAACAATTAATAATGGGGTTTTTTCCATGCAAAATAAGAGACACGTAATTCTATGTCTGAGTATTACCTATTGACTAGATCGTCAATCATAATGAGCCTTTAGAGTTATAAATAGTTCTCAAAAATATGAATCAAAAGTATGCAAATTCATCCCCTAAAAATAATACAGTGTTTTGTTTTTCCTCTTTCTCAAATAACTAACTTGATTGTCGGAGGAGTACGCCGGAAAACATTCTGGCGCCCTTCTAACTTATTTTTTTGTGTGCTAGGAGAATCCTATGACTCACCGGGACCAGTTGGACAACTCCTGAGACAATTCATCACCACTCCTTAGACTCTTTTTAGTCCTCTCAACTCATTCTTTGCTGTGAGATTCACCATTTCGACGAACTCAAATTCACCACCGAAGAGATCTGCTATTTTTATATATTATGCGAAAATTATGTCACACAAATAACATAACACAGCTGAACTCACAGATCACAATAGAACAATATGGTCAAAAAAATATTTAATACAAGTTTTGCATACACAAACTTTCTATTTGAACAGCAAGCATATATGTCAATCTCAGCGAGAGATGTTTAACACAGTTGTCAGATTTTTTTTGCTTTGTTTTCTGCTAAGGTTGTCACGCTCTGGCTGGCTGGGCCAGTGTGTTATGTCCTATTCTACACTATTTCCAAAAACAGGTGCAATTTAATATGAGAGTTAGTGAGGCATCACGATGATTTGTTAACACTAGCCATATTCTCTTGGATCCAAATTCTCTCATTTTCGAAATTTTTTTATTGAACTCTTCAATTAATTATTGGTGTAGTCCAAACACGAAAATTGTGGAATTGGAAGATATTTGTAAATCACATCTTTTGTTTTTTACAATTTTAATACTCTATGTAATTGGGTCTAATTTTGATGAAATTAGAAAAAAAAAAAGTACAACTTGTAAAAAGACACGTCTGATTAAACATTTAAGTTATCGTACATCATCGAACCGACATACAAAACTTTAAGGCAATGCTATTATTGCCCCTCCATCACGAAGGATTCGTNTCGAAATTTTTTTATTGAACTCTTCAATTAATTATTGGTGTAGTCCAAACACGAAAATTGTGGAATTGGAAGATATTTTTAAATCACATCTTTTGTTTTTTACAATTTTAATACTCTATGTAATTGGGTCTAATTTTGATGAAATTAGAAAAAAAAAAGTACAACTTGTAAAAAGACACGTCTGATTAAACATTTAAGTCATCGTACATCATCGAACTGACATACAAAACTTTAAGGCAATGCTATTATTGCCCCTCCATCACGAAGGATTCGTCTAAGTCTAACGTGTTCAGAAAGTGCAAAGTCGGTCAATTCCATTCCAATATCATATTCCCAGGTGCCTGCCTCTGTCTGAGCAGCTCACAAATCTTAATTTGTTACAAACCTCCCTTTTTAGGGGTACTCTTCAAGTGGTAAATTTTAATGCATCGTATCACTTATTGCATAAGTTAGACCCTTGCTTCTCATGCAGACAACGCGCGACCTATAAAAAAAACTCTAGACTATCGGTCAAGGATAANGCCGGCCAATTCCATTCCAATATCATATTCTCAGGTGCCTGCCTCTGTCTGAGCAGTTCACAAATCTTAATTTGTTACAAACCTCCCTTTTTAGGGGTACTTTTCAAGTGGTAAATTTTAATGCATCGTATCACTTATTGCATAAGTTAGACCCTTGTTTTTCATGCAGACAACGCGCGACCTATAAAAAAAACTCTAGACTATCGGTCAAGGATAACATTCTTAGGCTCTTCAACCCAAAATCATGTGTACCATTCTCAGTTTTTTTCAGCCTTGAAGCTAATCAGTTCCATCTTAAGTTAAAACACAAATGGGAAAACAACTTGACCAAGGATGTTCAACCCTTGCACATCACATACATCACTTCCAGCCTAAGACGAGTTAACCAGGTCAGCTTGAAAGCTATGGGTTGATCAGTCCGAAACTAAAAGAACACTTGGCAAAAAGCCAAAAATAGCAAAGGTGTTTGGAGCTATTCAACTCAAAATAGCTACTTATCGGTGGCACCCAAAACTATTCAGTTTAGGTCAAGTTCTTGCTTCCACCAAATAACTGGGTCATGTTCAATTTTTATCTAATTAATAATCAGGTCGTGTGCCGATTGAATAATATTAAATACAAACCTATTTAACTTGATATGAGTGTTATCCTTAACTACAGTGGACTAGTTCATCTTGAATTTTCAATCCAAATTTTTTAATTAAAGTTTAANCCACCAAATAACTGGGTCATGTTCAATTTTTATCTAATTAATAATCAGGTCGTGTGCTGATTGAATAATATTAAATACAAACCTATTTAACTTGATATGAGTGTTATCCTTAACTACAGTGGACTAGTTCATCTTGAATTTTCAATCCAAATTTTTTAATTAAAGTTTAATTTGAATTTCAAAATTGATAGAGGAAAGTTCTCAAGTTGAAGACTACGAGTTGAAGGTCAGACTTGCGTTACCTTAGGTTTGACACTGAATTAACCTCTCAAACCGCGTTTTCATCTATAAATTGAGCAGTCTAGCAATGGAATTGAAACATATCTTTGTATCAAAACCGGAATTTTTCAGTTTATAAATGAAATGATATATAAATGATTTTTTTTTTTTTATTTATAAAAAAAAGTCTACAAATTGAATTGAAAAAACAAAATCCAGCTTTGCCACGACACAGACACTCCCACACTTCACCAAGTCAACAAAATCTCTTGCTCTGCTGTATCCTGATAAGCATATTAGCAATTTAATATATTCAAATAATCTTTAACAAAGTTAATTTCATTAACTACCCCTTTAGTTTCAAAACATGTCAAATTCAACCCCACCTTTTTGCACCTCAATACTCGCACCCACCTTTACGTGGGGTCGTTTCCATTGCATTGGGTTTTAATACCAGTCCAATCACAGCTCAGGACTCTCTCTCTCCCTCCCTCCCTCCCTTCATGGCCAATCAAACAGAGGCAAGAGTGACTCTATGAAACCCACTTTTTAGTCCATCCAAAGTAAGGTTTGGGTTCCCACATTCACCTGAAAAACCAGGTCAAAATGAATTCTCCGCTCTTCTTCACCACCACCTTGTTTTTCTCTCTCCTCCTCTCACTACCCCCCTCCTTCTCAGACCTTGCCACCGACCGTGCCGCCCTATTAGCCCTCCGCTCCGCCGTCGGCGGCCGATCTCTGCTCTGGAACATCTCGGAACGCACCCCATGTGCATGGCCAGGTGTCAATTGCTCTTCAAACCCCCCTCAGGTTGTCGAGCTCCGTCTCCCCGGAATGGGCCTTTACGGCCAGATTCCACCGAACACCGTCGGAAATCTGACCCACCTCCACACCCTTTCCCTCCGCTTCAATGTCCTTTCGGGCCCACTACCCTCTGATCTTTCCTCTCTTTCCTCTCTTCGTAACCTTTACCTCCAGGACAATGCCTTCTCTGGCCCCATCCCTGAATTTCTCTCCAGTCTCACTAATCTTGTTCGCCTCAACCTTGCCCATAACAACTTCTCTGGTTCTATTCCTCCTTCACTCAACAATTTGACTCGTTTGGCTACTCTCTATTTGGAAAACAACCATCTCACCGGGTCAATTCCTGACTTGAATTCATCCAGTTTGGTTCAGTTGAATGTATCAGACAATCAACTAGCTGGTACTATTCCTTCAAGGTTTTCTGGAATGCCAGCGAGTTCGTTTTTGGGTAATGCACTTTGTGGAGGTCCACTTTTATCTTGTAATGGAACTGGGAAAGGGAAAGGCAAGAAACTATCTGGTGGTGCGATTGCTGGGATTGTAATTGGATCGTTAATTGGGTTGTTTTTGATTGTTTTGATTTTGTTGTTTTTGTGTCGGAAAAGAAGGGATCATGAAGTAGGATCTAAGGATGAAGCTGCAATGAAGAAGGGTGATATTGAAATACCACACGAAAAATCGGTTGAGAGTGGGGTTGTGGATAGTTTGAGTAGTGCGCTTCCAGCAGTGACGGTGAGAAAAGAGAAGGGTGAGGGTAACGGTGGTGGTGTTGGGGGGAAGAATTTAGTGGTATTTGGGAACATGGCTAGGACTTTTGATTTGGAAGATTTATTGAGGGCATCCGCGGAGGTTTTGGGGAAGGGGACATTTGGGACGGCGTATAAGGCTGTGTTGGAGATGGGTGTGGTGGTGGCGGTGAAGAGGTTGAAGGATGTGAGTGTGCCTGAGAAGGAGTTCAGGGAGAAGATTGAGGTGGTTGGGAAGATGGATCATGAGAATTTGGTGCCTCTCAGGGCATATTATTATAGCAAAGATGAGAAGCTTCTTGTATTCGATTACATGCCAATGGGAAGTTTGTCTGCTCTTTTGCATGGTGAGCATCACTTATTTGCATCCTTTTTCTTTTTATTTGCATTGTGTTCTTCTTGTAAATTAGTCTGTTATTGCAGTTAATTCCCTTTTTGACGAATAATTGGTTTGGTGGATTGCAGCTTTATATCTCTTGTTCTAGTACCTGGGGGTGTGGTTAATTATTCTTATATCCTAAGATTTTTCACCAAAAAATGATTTTGCTTATAATTTCTGGTTTTGGTATTTGATTGCTACAATATATTGTTATGTCTTTCAATTATCCATTTATGGGGGAAAAAGGCTTCTGGGCCAGCTGTGGTAATGAAATACATTTAGAATGGGGTCAATGGCTGTCTTAAACAAGTCAATCAGAGATTGTACCAGTGGCTAGATTGCATTTTATTTGTCTCTTGTTTAGTAGTACAGCATTATGTCTTCAATTGAATTTGGCTCGGATTAAACAGTTTCCTTTCATGATGACATACCAAGCAATGGTGTAATTGCTGAAGAATCTGAGACATTCATAGATTTTAGTTTTGATAGTGTACCTTTCGTAAACTTTAATATGCTGTATAACAAAAGGGCTATAAAAACTTGCACTAGAAACTTCACAGAATCCCTAATTTGATCCCTAGCCCACTGAACTTTAATGTTCTCTTGATCTTCTGGTAAAGTTGTCACATTGAAGTTTACACGAAATTTAAAGCTACATATTCAGTACAGCAGAATTTGGACCTGTTTAAGGTGCATCACCTCTGATTCCCATCTTTTTTTGCATTCTCGATATTATTTCAGTTGATTATCTCTCAGTTAGTACATTTAGGGCTTTAGGCATTTTATTGTATTCATGAGGAGGCTTTCAAATGTTGGGATATTACAGTTAGGTTTGTAGAGAACTTGCTCCAAGGTTTTCTTCNTGTTGCATTCTCGATATTATTTCAGTTGATTATCTCTCAGTTAGTACATTTAGGGCTTTAGGCATTTTATTATATTCATGAGGAGGCTTCCAAATGTTGGGATATTACAGTTAGGTTTGTAGAGAACTTGCTCCAAGGTTTTCTTCTTCTTCTTCCATCTTAATCAGTACCAATGTTTGTTGTCATATGTGTGTAGTGTAACAAATTTCCCATTGCATGTAAACATTCTGTGATATAATGCCAAGANTCTTCTTCTTCCATCTTAATCAGTACCAATGTTTGTTGTCATATGTGTGTAGTGTAACAAATTTCCCATTGCATGTAAACATTCTGTGATATAATGCCAAGATTTTTCTTCTTATTCCTTGTCTCGCATTTGTTTTGTTTCTTCAAGTAGAATAAATTGCTTCTTATTTGTTTTCGTGTTTGGAGTCAGGTTCCTTTGACAATGCCTTCATCTGCTGTCAAATTCTCATTTCATGCACTACTTCGTGAAATTGGATATATTGTATGCAAAGCTAATAGCATTCAGTGTACACCACATAAAATTTTCAAATCCAAAACCCAATAGGAAATATACTAGCCATGGAAAGCGGAACCATTTGCCTAGTCTGGTTTCTCTAGTTTTATTTTTCCTCTTTTCTGGATTACAGGAAACAGAGGAGCTGGTAGGACACCATTAAACTGGGAAACAAGATCCGGGATTGCACTTGGAGCTGCCCATGGAATTGCATACCTCCATGCACAGGGCTCAACTGTCTCTCATGGCAACGTAAAGTCATCGAATATTCTCCTCACAAAATCCTATGAAGCCCGTGTTTCTGACTTTGGCCTTGCTCAGCTTGTTGGTCCCTCCTCCACCCCCAATCGTGTTGCTGGCTACAGGGCACCAGAAGTTACAGATCCTCGTAAGGTCTCCCAGAAAGCTGATGTTTACAGTTTTGGCGTATTGCTGCTGGAACTGTTAACAGGTAAGGCTCCCACTCATGCTCTCTTGAATGAGGAGGGGGTAGACCTTCCAAGATGGGTTCAGTCAGTGGTTCGAGAGGAGTGGACAGCTGAGGTATTTGACCTTGAGCTCCTCAGATATCAAAATGTTGAGGAGGAAATGGTTCAGCTCTTGCAACTTGCTATTGACTGTGCCGATCAGTACCCTGACAAGCGCCCTTCAATGGCTGAGGTGGCAAGCCGGATTGAGGAGCTTTGTCGTTCTAGCTTACAACAAGAGCAAGACTCGAGTATCGACATAGTCAATGCTACACAGGAGCAACGGGATTAGTCTGTTGATTTGGGTGCACCACTACCTTCCTCCGCTTCAGTTACAGATTGATGTAAAATCTGTCTTCTTCCATTGTTACCAATTTTTAGATATTTTGTTTAGTTATTTGAGTGTTCGTTAATTCTTGGGGCTCTGCTTCTGTCAAGCANTGTAAAATCTGTCTTCTTCCATTGTTACCAATTTTTAGATATTTTGTTTAGTTATTTGAGTGTTCGTTAATTCTTGGGGCTCTGCTTCTGTCAAGCACCAAATGTGCATCATGTTTTCTCTTCTCTTTACATTTCTTTGTGGTGGTAGTAATTTTCCTTTTCCCCTGTAACTTTACTGTTGATGTTATATTCTTTGGGGATCCCAATACTATTGGCTTTTTATTGTGTGATTATTGTCTAGTTGTCCTTGTTGAGGAGATGGCCTTTGATTACATTTGTTTGTCCCAACTTTGGCTTTTGCTTCTGATGCAAATTTGGTTTGTAGAAACTGATCAGTCTTTTCTTGTTTGTGGGAGCACAAGAGAGGATTGATTGATATGTGATACCAACAACGATGCCATGTGAGGTTATTCTGTTGATTCTTTTATTATGTACTCAAATGTCTTTTTCATCTTCAGATGGCTAAGATTGTACTCTCAATAATTTTGTTTCTTTTGCTTTACCGACAGGCAAAAGGAATTAAGTGAGCAAATTAGCTGGCCTATTGTTACATGTTATTATTTGGGCAGAAACATTGGAAGTTGTCCACTGCATGGACTGTCTCTAGAAACTTCGGAACCCCACCATTGACAATCCTGTTTCTTGGTAGTTGTTGAAGAATATCTAGTTGGAAGTTCCCAATAACGTCACCGGGATATAATGTTGCGCCGCCAGCTAGGGCCAAGAAACTTGTACCTTTTTGTAATGCTTTGTTTAAGCTCAAGAAGAATTTTTTATATCTATACTTTTTTGTTATGAACTAACACAATCGAAAACAAAGCATCGAGTGAAAACAGTTTTGTGTTTCAATCTTCACTTGTTATTTTAGGTTTTTCTTTTTCTCACAAGTGTTTTTTCCAACCAGAAAAGACGAGTTATATGAGCGCCGTCATTAATTTGATTTGAATCACGAAAATAATTTCTTCGCATGCAACCATATATATCTGGCGTTTTCTTGATCTCACATGTCATTATTCTCACTTGGGATTTTATTTATATCAGGTGTTCCCCGGTTTCATTTCTGTTTTTTTTGTTTGGTTTATGAATTCAGATTTTGAAAGAGCTAGAACACTTTTGAGTGTCTTTTACAAACAATATGAGTAATCCAGGATTGTAGGGCAAATTCAATTTGGATTGTTACAGGGGTAAATTAGTTGGTTGGTTGGTTGGTCTTTGTACATTACCATCTCCAATAGTCTATTATACAAAGATGTCCATAAATTTGTTGGGACGCTGTTTGGAATGTTAAAGAGGATTTAGTTGGTTAGTCCTTGTCCCTTAATTTCTTCAACTCCACTGATCTCCATTTTCAGCTTGCTTAGTCTGGTGACTTTTGATTCTTTTCTTGATTTTGAAGCACTTATGTATGTTAAATTTTTGTTCATGCCTTTTCTTTCGTTTTTTACATGTTTGTGTGGCTTAACCTTTTATTTGGTATGGTCATTTTCTACTAGTCTGGACTAATTATGACTTAAGGTGTCAAGACTGTCTGTCACCTTATGCATGTAAGCATGCATGCCAAAGGTTAAATATATATGCTGTCTATCACATATTATTTTTTGGGACTGGACTCGATAGTAACATTTATTTTAAGTTGCACCATAGATGGTGAGGATTATTATTATTTTTCCTTCCAAATTATTAATTTTTTTTTTTTTTTGTGTTCTTGTATTTGTTCTATTACCTAGTCTGTTTGATATGCATATTCTAATTTCCTGAACATATTTTCTCTTTCTGAATCATGTATAGCCCTACAGACACAGTGTCTTTCATGGTCTTTCTGTTTTTTTTTTTTGCTTCTAATTCAACTTTGTCTGTTGAAACTGAGATGTTTAAGTTTGCTTTTAGTTTCAAAAGTGCAAACTGAAGACTTCATGGTCTCATGGGTTTTGCTGCTGATTAAAGCCAAAGTCCTCTGCCGTTGTTGATTTAGACAGGATGAAACTAACGGTCTTGAAATGTTAGGTGAGGACTATGCACCAGTTGGAGTTGTTTACGTATCCAAAAAAGATTGGTACTATACTGTCATTTACATTTTTTATGGGTGATTTTACGATTGTTATTGAAATTTTTTTTACCACTTTGGTGACCGGGGCGGAGCCAAAAATCATGTCTAGAGTGGAAATTTTACTAAAATTTTTTAATTTTTTTTCTTCTAATCGATAAAAATAAAATAATATATTTAAATTTACTATATTCTATTCGATACTTAAAAAAAGGGTGAAACTTTGATAAATATAGCATACGTAAATAAAAACAAACAAAAAAGAAATGCTAATTATACCCCTTCATAACAAATGCAACAAACTGCATAAAAGATACTATAATATTTCTCTATATATATAATTAAACTATTAGTCATTGATCACTCATTTAATTAAGTAACCTAGTTGTCATAATCTCTATAGCTTTTTTTTTTTAATTGAAATCTCTATAACTTAAAAAAAATAAGTTCGACACGTCAAAAACTTACATACATGTATCCTTAAAGTGTGTCAAAAAATTCATAATTATTTAGATACGAGGACTATACTAATTGATAAAACAAAAAATGATAGAGTGGACACACTTAAATATATTATATTTCAAATTATTTGAAATATACATAAGTAATATTTAAAAAAAAAAATTGTAACGACTTTTTACCACATTGTGCATTGTTAGTTAGTTAAAAATGTTATCGTAATTGGATTCTATAATTAATGTTACTGATGTTGGTACTTATCAAAAACAAAAAATTGCTACTAAAATAGGAATTAGCCCATCCTACTTTTTGGCAAATAAGATAAAACAAAGATAATTGAAAAAAAAGAAATTGATGGTATACTAAAAATAACTTGGCAGAATAGATCTTCGATCAAAAAATAACTTTGTGGTGCTATAGTTAGACCCAAGTATTCCAGTTGAATCATTTGCTTTCTATCTAAAACTAACTGGTTGAGCAGGTCACAGTTTACTCGGTGGTTAAAGCCAAAAAATGATTAAAAATAATTAGCTATTCTAGGAGTAAGCTTATCTAGTTAATTTTGACGTAAGTGGCACCAAAGACCTGGAATCAAAATCCATCTTTATCTGTGTGGAAAAGAGACTAATCAAGTGAAGAACTAAACCTGCTATACATGTAACCCCACCATTGAGCTATTATAAGAAAACAGAGTGATTATAGGACAAGGATACACGACATGACATCGGCATGCAGGGGCGGAGCCAGCTTTTCACATTAGAGGAGACAAACTATGATCAAAAAAAAAAAAATATTCTAGAATTCAATTTTTTCGGTCGGACATGGGGCTTTAGCTCATTCATTGGTTTACCGAAAACACTATTAAATTTTTAACTTAAACAAAATATAAATAAAAAATCATAAAATAACATATATTTAATACATTTCAACTCAATCACGTACTAAAATAGAAGATGATGTTATTTCAAATCTTAAAATTTGTCCATAATGAATTGATGATAAACTAAATTTTTAGAAATTTTATTCAATATACAAAACCACATTATCCGTGATAAAATTATTATTCATTTTATGTTGAGAAATCTAGTTAAAATCATCATTTACTTTGTTGATGTACTCAATCCATAAACTAAACTATTGATTTTTTTTGTTGAGAGGGGTAATGGGTCACTAACTTATCAAAAATTGAAAAAAAAAAAACTTGGACTATTATAAACATTTTTAAAAACTAAAGGAGGCAAATGTATGAAAATAATTGAAACTATCATCTTTAAGAATAGAATTCAAAAAGTCAGGGGGACAAGTGCCCACCCTCCTTCTTCCTATGGGGCTCCGCCCTTGTTGGCATGCAAGTAGAAGGTTGAGTTGGGATTACGACCCATTGTGTTGTTCCTCAATCAATGTCATATAACATGCAGACGATGTAATATAAACAACGATGTTTGAAGGAATAGCGCCTGTACGAACACGAGCATCTTTACCCATTTCTAGAGCCTCCCTATGTGACAAAAGATTAGGTCTAGAGGAAGGAAGTAGTAAAATCTTTTGAACATATTTTACAGCTTAATTAATATTATAAAATTTTAAATAAATTTCCAAAATTTAGTGGGATAATCGGCACATTCCTTAAATCCGTGGTTGAGGATGGAGATGCATTATGGCCAGGTTGTTGAATTCTTATTAATTTACAACTCAAAGGCAAACCAAATCACATGTTCAGGTTCAAGCCAAAACATCGCACCTGAAAAACATCTCATTATGCAAGTACCAATCTGAAGTGAGAGTTGTACACACAATTTAAATCAAATGTTCCAAAGAAGTTTGTGTGAGACCCTTATTTATGCAGTACATAGCTAATGATTTACATTCACTGTGTTGTAAAGACGAATGAAGCAACCTACCTGCTACGTTACATGAAATTGGGATATTGCAAAAAACAGCAACACCTACTGTCTAGGATCGCATGGACAAAGTTCCCGACCACAGGCTCAAATGCCCCAATGAGCATCCCCTCCAAAGAAAACTTGGTAGAGCTCCAATCCCAAGCCCCGTTGATTCCAATATGAGTGGCTTGCACATCAAGAGTGAGCATTGGAGTGGAATAACCCGAAAAACCAAACTAAACTGTGAATAAAAGAGTAACCAAAATCATTCAAATACTGCACAGCAATCGCATTGTCACTATAGAGGCAATCACTTTTCACCATGATCATTCAGTTTTACCTGGACATGTCTTTCATGAAACCCCAAGTATGGGAAATGAAGTGTCAACATTCGTTATTACGTTGTTCTTGAGTGTTTGATGAGCCAATCAATGACAACATCTATGTTTACAGATTCTTTGCAGGAGATCATGTAGCAGCAAACTTCTCTCTCTGTGATTGAGTTAAGACCTCTGAGAAACAGGAATAAATGTAAGGCGACAGACAGACATTATATCAAAGAGTGACAATTGCTTGAGGTTAATGCAAAACTTACAACTGATCGACTAGTGCCTGCTTGGAAAGAGCTTCTGACCTGTCAATTTTGTTACCGAGAACAAGCAAAGGAATTCCGGTCAGTGAAGGTTTCTCTAAGAGGTCATGTAGCTCAACTCGAGATATTGGAACACCATCCCTATCAGCAGCATCTACTACATATCTGGCTTTTGCACAAACAAGACAATACATTAAACCCGTTGAAAGCACATCTAGAGTAAAATTGAACGGCTTGAGATATTTAGCCTCATCTGGATTCAGTATAGGGCATATGTTCCCTCTCCCGTTAGCTACAGAAAAAATGGAAACTACAGAATTTGGAATCTAAAACTTCTTGTGGATTAAAGGTGGAAGAGTCAGATGATCAGCCAGTCTCCCCACCCCCTAACCCCCTTATAGAGATAGAGAGAGAAGCAAAAGTAAAAAAAAAATTGGTTTATATCTGAAAGGCTACAGAACTGATTCAATGGTGTCCCCTTTTTTTGTTCTCTTAACAAGATCAGAGGGGGCTTTCTGAAGTCTGGACTTCAAGGTATCACCCACAGCAGAGCACACATCTTTAATTGATATGTGACAGGCTTTGCACAAGAAAGTTCTCCAGCACCATTGAAAACAAGTTAAGAGGATGTAAAAAGAGTCCAAACTGTTTAAATGCACAAGAACTTCTCACAGCAACGAGCCAATCACTTATCACTCTTTTATGATACAATGCAATATTTAGTCTGCTGTTATTGAAAATAATATTGCAGTCTCATAATAATTGTAACTTCAAGGGACAGAAAATTTCTAACGCTACAATAACAGGCATTAATCACTGAATGTACATGCAAAGTTATAGGAGGATATCAAGTAGTAAGCAACAAAACCACATGGTGTATCAACCAACCAAGGTTCAGACTTCAAGGAGGAGGAATTACAGTATTGCAGCGACCCCACGACAGTAACGTTCCCACATGGTACGAAACCTCTGTTGCCCTCCAAGGTCCCAGAGCTTAATTGTAACCTTCCCTTTTGTGACTTTTCGCATGTTAAATCCCACCTGATTTAGAGAGTACAAAAAAAAAAAAAATGCTGAATAGATCCATGCCTAAAGTCAGAGGAAGAGAGATACGTACAGTTGGAATCCTGTCCTCACTGAAGCCTCCTGCCTGATAGAAGTTAAACATAAAAAAAAAATTAGGTTTGAAAGAAAGCCAATCCAGGAGAGGGGGAAAACAGGAAGAAGATAGGATAGATTTGAAGTTTACTTACAGCAATGGCATTAACAAGAGATGTCTTTCCTGCGTTCTGCAGGCCGATGAGGGAAAGCTCCATTTCCTGTTTAAAGAATAAGCTGGCATGGAGAAATAGTGAGAAGCACAAAAGGACTTAGAAATAATGAAACTAATACTTTGTTCTATTTACTTCGAAATACTGCAAAATCAAGAATGCTTCCCCTCCAACACTAATATAGCTATAATTGATGAACTCAGTCAAAACCTAGGATATAGAAAGAAACCCATCAAATTGAGAAAGGTAATCTATATGGTCAAATCTGTGAGCAGCTCTGAATAGTTTGGCTGATTATTGAAGAACCAGACTGTACACAATACATGCTATTGGCCACCATATTTCAATTGAATTCTTGCTCATCAAACTACAGTGTTAGTGCTGGTTAAGAAAGGTCCATCCAAGCTTGCTCAGCACAAAGGGCAATCCTAGCCAATTGAATTGAAAAACTTTCAAGCAAGCTCCAAAACTATCATATTAATGGCCTTACACTCCCAATACTGTTTAATGTGAGTAATGAAATTGTTGTTGTGAACATCTGAAAAGTTCAATCATTTAATTTACTTATTCCTGCAAATACTCTATGGAACAGCATATTTCCAAGCAATTAAGTGCCTCTATCATTTGGTACCATATCTCTGCTGTTCTTCAATCACATGGTACATTATAACCACAAACCATACCAATTAGGGGTGACAAATGGACTAAATTTCATTCGCTACAATGGTACAGCAGAATCCTGGTTGATGAACAAGAAATGAAAGTGTTTATTATGAAAAACCTTAAAATGTAGTTATGATACTCAGGCATATCTACAAAAATGAAAACTAAGCTTATTTCATCCGAGTAAATTCATTGGTTCAATAAGTTTTAGTAATAGGTAGTTATGAGGTGCGCGTAAACTTGCGCGGACACCCCTGACTATTGAACCAAAAAAACAGATACAACTAACACAAATTTCTTCACTGTCCAGTGTCCAGCCATATTTGCCTTATTTCTCAACCAAAATTTTTCGAATTCAACTCTATTTTTGTAAAAGGTTAACTATACAGTTTAACAACACAATTTTTTATGTAAAGTCATAATTTTAACCAAAAAAATCTATCCAAATTTAGTGTAGGGAGGTCGTCTGAACCTGGGACCCTATTCGACAACGTCTCTAGACACAGTTATCCCGATGCGACGGTGGCTCCATGCCCTTAGAAAGGACATGGGAGACAACAAAAACTCTTTTTTTTAGCAAAAGGTCATCCCTTACTCCATTCCTTCCTAACATCAAGAATGGCGGGATGGGAAAAGTAACTCCTTCCTGAAAGGGCATTTCTTACTCTATTTCTTACTAGAATGCTAGCACTATTGCTCCTTTAAAAATGCTTGATATATGAAGTGTATCAAGACATTATCTTCTTTGAGACAACACAGTTTCTAGAATTAGAGTAAAATGTTTCATTCCAAGTCAAAATAGCCTGTTCTAAAATGTGGTTCCACTAGCCCACATCTTATAGATCGCTTGATTCCATTCTCACTTAACATTGAAATTCTAATTTATCAAAAAAAAAAAAAAACATTGAAATTCTAAAAGTTTTTACTTGAAGTGCTGAAGTAAAAAAAAAAAAAAAAGGGAAGGCACCATTGTATAAAGATATCATTATGTCACATTATTCCTCGAAAGGTTTCAAAAAGTGTACCTTGCCCCTTAAAAAACTAATTGTCCCATATCACATGCATGGATGCGGGATGTCAACAGATGAAAATTAGACGCTGTTTACTAATTGGAAAACATTACTCTTGTTTAAAGAGATTTTTTGGTACAATGTGAGACTTTTGATCTGGGATGAAATGAAGGTGAAAATTTTCAAAATCCCTGGCATAGTGCCAGTGGCCCCAAGGAATATGATCATGGAAATTGAAATGACCCGACCTCTGTTTCTTTAATTTTCAAACCTCAGGAATCAAGATTCTTTTGATGAGAACCCAGCAGCCACACTGTATAATCTTTTGTTGAGTTCATTTATTTTTTTCATTTTTCAAGAACAAAGAAAAATAAGATTGGTCCTTCGGACTATTTATACAGGTGGGAATATATGGTATCAAGGGTTTGGATCCCTACTTTGGAAAACCAAGATTAAAAACAACAGAAAATCCAATTTCCACTTTCCTTTTGCTTTTCCACTAGTCTCTCAGTAACCCAATGAAGGTTTAAAATTTCGTTTTCTTTTTCCACCAAGACGTTTCTGTTTTCATAAAAACTGAAACAAAAATATCTAACGAACTGTTGCTGAATCCATGGGCAGGCAAGAGACTGAAACATCTTTCCCTGACTTTGTTTTCGTCAACAAACAATTCAAAATACCTATTTTAATGTATCGAGATATTTTTATTATATTTTGACTAATAATTTTAGAAATTTTCTAATTTTTTTCAGTTTCTAAAATATTTCCGTTTCTAAATTGATCGAAAATTATGCACCAAAACCAATTTTCAATCCGTATACCAGACACATGTAAAATTCACTCTGTGCTCTAGTCCTGATAAGAGATGAGGTATTAATGAGCTAAAACCAACAGCTTTGTCATAAATAATGCCACTATGATCACAAGGTACTATGAAAAAGCAAGAAAATGATGGGACATAAATTCTGAGGATGATAAAGAGACAATAAATAGATGAAAAAACAAGGAATTAAAAGAGAAGAGAGTAAATTACCTCCGGAGCCAATTGAGGAAGGAATCCCACAAACCCATTTCCAAGAAACGAGAGTTTCGTCGATCAAACCATTGGGTTTGTTTCTCTTGAATTCTCTCAGAGGGGAGAAAGCTGACTAAGAAGACGAAGGAAAATGCAAGAGAAACTTCACCGAGTGGATTCGAATCGTTCAGTTTTCTGGTTACTTCAGATAACAAGAATTTGGACGTGGCTTCTTGTTTGCTTTCCACGTGGTGTCTATTGGCTACTTTGCATGCAGTTTTTGCATAAAAATATTGTCATTTTTCTTTAACAGGATATTAGAATGGATTGACATCCTCCCATATATTTTTATTCGATATAGACCATTTAATTACATCGTTAATATTATGATATTTGCATACATAGAATATATAAGAGTTAATTCAATATAGTATAATTAGTTATTGTAAGTACTTGAAGGTATAAAATAATAAAAAATAATAAATAATAAGCATATTTATATTCATATCTAAAATTAAATCATAAATATAGAGTAGAGATAAAAAAAATTAAGTCTCGGTTTGTAGTGAGGGTGAGAAGTGGTGGGCGGTAGTGATGATAGTAAGAGACGGTAATGATTGTGGTGGGTAGTAATGACAATGGTGACGGCGACGATGGTGGTTGCGGCGACGTTAGTGGTGGTGGTGATGGTGGCGGTGGTGGGGTGGGGGTGGTGGTAGGGGCGACGGCGGTAGAGGTGGCTATGGCGGTGTTGGCGGCAGCAACAGCGACAATGGTGGTGGTGGTAGTGACGGTGGCAAGGGCAGGGCGGTGGTGGGGGTGACGGTGGAGGTGATGGGGGTAGCGGTGGGGTTGGTGGCGGCGGCGGTAAAGGTAGTGGTGGTGGTGGTTTCAAACATAATTTTTTAAAAGTATTTATGAAAAATAATTTTTAAAAGTATTTTTAAAAGTCACTCTAAACACATCCTTAAGGACATATTTTTTATATTAAATTTAAGACGTTAATATTAGTCGTTAGACTAACTTTAAAGTAAAATTTAAAGTGATCTAAACCGCGAATAGTAAAAGTCATTTTGCTTATTTTTTAAATTTAAATTGTAAACTATTTTATTATGTAGATTGTTATTTTTAATAAAATAAATAAAATTAATCAAAATTAGTAAAATTATTNGGCATTTTGTTTATTTTTTAAATTTAAATTGTAAACTATTTTATTATGTAGATTGTTATTTTTAATAAAATAAATAAAATTAATCAAAATTAGTAAAATTATTACTTGTAAAATTCAAATCAATTGCATCAATAATAATTTAAAATAGTATAAAATTTACAAATTTATACAATATCAAAATTTAATGATTTATGAAAATTATCACAATTTTAATAGATAATAGTTCGACTTGGTATAACCAATAGTTAAGAGGACAAAATAAAATCAAGATTACTATTTAATGTATAAAGTATAATTTTAAGAATTTAAGTGATATAAATATGATCAAAACATAATTTTAGCGGTGTAATGGGACAAGTTCAGATTTAGATCAAGCCTAGACCCAGTTCATAGGTTAAGCCCAAACTATCAAAAGGTAAACTAGGCTTAGCTTATGACTTCGGTTCAGTCCAAAACTCAAAAATTCAGGAAAATCAATGCACGTGAGGAATAATTATTAGGATAACCACTACTCGCAGATCGAGACTATTTTTAATTGTTTTTAGCTTTAGCTGTAACGAACTTCCCCGAAAGACTAGTAATCTATCATTTACGCCATCATCTCAATTAAGATTATGTGTCTATAAATTGTAAAACTCTCTATACATAAGAGAGAGATCTCTACATCTCACATAGAGATACATCATCTCACCTTGAGAGTACTATTACTTTCTCTCGCTCTCTCTCCCACCTGCTACTTTAATAATAAAGTCTTCTGACCATCGTTGCTACCTTCATGGTATATTTGGTTGGAATAATGAAAAATAGAAAAAATGAACTTTTCATTCATGAAAGAAGGAAATCCTATTTCTCTTCATTTTGTTTTGTATGATGGATAGAAAGTTGGAAGGATAACCTTTTCATTGTTTGGTATTAGAAGAAAAAGGAAAGAAAAGACAAAAGTAAATTCTTTTAAGTTACTACTATACCCTTAAATAAGAAAATAATTTTTACAATGATATAAAAGTTCAAACCATTAATTTGCTATATTATCGAATAAATATGTTTCAACAAATTAATATTTTCAATTTGATTCGTATAGAAAAATTTAATTTCAGTTAGACAAGTGAAAAATATAAATGATTTTTTTGTAGTATTTAAACATGGAAGATGGTTAAAAAAAAAATTCCAATTACTTTATTGCATAAATACATTAGCTTGTATAACAAATTAGAAAAGATAAGACACTTGAAGGGTATTATAGTAAATTAGCTTAGCTCCCACTCAAAACCCCCATCCTCTCTCCAGCTTTCCACCCAAAAGTGGACGGACTGAAAATTGTGGGCAGAAGTCATTACGTGTCCTCCAAACTTTTCTTTTCATTACCTTTTCCTTTGAAACCAAACAATGAAAAATGTTTCCTTCCTTCCCATTTTCTACCTTCTACTTTCCATACACCCAATTTTTTACCATACCAAACGCACACTCAAAGTCGAGTAGGTCATTCTAATCAAATCACTTTATATTTGTGTTGTTTGTGTTGATCTTCTCTTTATATTTATTACTTTTTTCACCTATATTAATTACTCGACAAATAATATATAAATTCAATTTTGTCCATCATCATAATGTATAATTTCAAAAAATTGAGCAGGGCCCTTTTGGCCATAACATAGCTTCGCCACCGATATTAGATAATTTGCCAATAAATGAATTAAAGAGAAAATGTATTAGAAAATTTTTTACAGTAACTAGAAAAATTAAAAAATGACACTAAAATAGGGATACATTATTATATTGGTGATATATTATATTTTTCTTTTATTTGTTCAAAATATAAATATTTTTAACTATTTCACACTCATTATTTAATTCTTGTTTTTGGATGTTATTTCTTAGTCAATGTAGCACTCGTTTTGTTTTTAAGAAAATGCTAATGGTCAAATTCTTGTGATAGACAAGATGTACAACTCGTAAAATGTAAGAATTGTAGCTGTTCTCTGCTTGTAGAGCTCTCCCCCTCCCCTGAGATGGCAGTACCCCTTCTTGAGTCTGATATTCATCTCATCCGGGGATCACTTCACCTTGAATCTCTTTTTTGGCATCTGACTATCAACTTCTTCTCAACCCTCTTCTCCATTTCCTTCCCTCAATCCAAATACAATATGTTCCCCCCGAGCACCCTTGTGACTCGTAATCATCTCCCTCGACAATTCCCTCACCTTCAATCTCTCTCTTGGCCCAAATCAGCTACCAACTTCTCATTCACCCTCTTCTCCGTTTCTTTCCCTCAATCCAAAAAAAAAAAACAATCTACTCAGCTCCCCCATCCTTCTTGCATCCGGAAACTCAACCCTAGGCTACCTAAAGTCTAAGAAATACCCCATAAATAAACCATCCAACCCTATCAATCCTTATTCTAATCTTAACCCAGTATACCAGTACCTGGAAATCCTAATCCAAGCACACAAACTTTCGTTTAAACACCTCAAAACCATACCAAGCCCACGGAGCAGAGAACTAATCCCGCAAACACACCAGCCCATCAATAAGAACTCACCATCCATTTGAAATCAGATGAACCCAAAGCTAGTAGAGAAAATATTCACCACAAAGCATCTCAATCGAAGTGCAGCAAGGCAATACTTGTAAAAGCTTGGAATGTTCTAAACCGAATAGAATCAAGGATGGCGCAATAGATACCTATATATTTATCTTCTCCAGTAAAGATCTCAAACCATGCATTTATCAAATGAGGCCATGGATAGTTAAATGACAACTACTGGTTATCAAGTAATTGAATAGCACATCCACAATTTCTAAACTCCAATTTGATAAAATCAACTTCTAGATCCAGGCACATGGTCTGCCGCTTGATCTGATCATGTCGGAAAACGCATTCAAAATTGCAACTGTAATTGGAACGACAAAAAACCCAAATACAACACTTAACAAGGAACCTTGTGGAAAGGGTACCTACGAACCAGGGTCACCCTGGACCCTAACCAACCTCTTCATAACTGCTTTTGGTTACCTCAAGCAAAGGACCAAGTGCATATCACTGAAATATGATAGGTTAGGTGATTTTTGCATGGTTGTGGAAGAATTGGGCACGACAAACAGACCTGCAATTATAATTTGCCTATGGATTCGAGCTCCAAATATGGTGCCCATCTACAAGCATCATAAGGAAAAACCTCTGATACCCAATCCTCCTCGGAAAACCCAACAAACCAAACATCAATACTGGTGGTGTAATATCCCATATTTAAAATATATATAATATTAGTTTTTAGATCAATTTATGATTTTTTTTTTAAAAGGGATGTTAATGTAATTAAGGAATGAGGAATTATAGGGTTTCTTTACTTTGTATAAATATACATGTAGACAGGCAAAAGAAGACAAAATAAAAATATATATACAGAAAAAAGGGATAAAAGTGTGATTAAAATAAGTTCCCTTATTGCCTTAAATATCTACTGTATGTAGATATACGTATATATTCTCTTTCCTTAGTAATACCTACACACACGTTAGAATAAGAGAAAGGAGGGAGAGGCTAGGGTTTCAAGTAAAGAAAAAGGAAGAGAAAGAAGGAAGGGATTTAGATAAGAAAGAAGAAAATTAAAAAATTTGATTGTAAATGTTAGTTTTTATATTGAAATTTAATTATGTATTTAATCATTTTATGTACATATATACAAGTTTGTAGCCTATAATCTCTTGCAAGTAATCCATATGGATAGATTTATGGGGTTGAAATATATGAATTTAAATATAATATGGTGGGTATTTGTGTTAAGAAGATATTAGGAAAAAAGGGAAAAAAAAAAAAGAAGAAGATGCAGACCAAGTTCTGGAATTCGTAAGGTTGAAGAAGATGAAAGTTTTGAAATTATGGAAACCTCCTACTTAGTTTTAAATAGTTTTATTTTGATCCCTATACTTTTATAAACTCAATTTTTGACTACCATCGAACTTGGTAATTTATAGAATTAACCCAATATGTTTGAAACAAATATGGTCATTTCAAAACAGCCCCCGTGTCTTGAAAAATTTTAAAATTTTGAAACAACTCCTAATAATTTCGATTAAGTGTTTAAAAATCAATGGTTACTCTAATAAATCAAATTGATGTTGTATTCTTGAAAAATGGGTCTCTAGAACCTTAAATACTATTCTGGAAAATTTATTGCAGCCCCGAAAATAGAAAATTAGTTTTGTAAAAAATATACAAATATATTTTGACTCCAAAAGTTTCAAAAATTAAGATTGACCCCAAAACTTTAGAAACTTTTTTTCAAACAGCCTAGAATACTTTCATACCCCGTTACCTCGAATTAGAAAGGATATTTATATGTAAAAGATATATTAAGTATATATCAATAAGTAGAAAGTATAAAAATTAAATATAGAATCGCGAAACGACGAAATTAGGAATAGAGATTGATTGTAATATGTTGTTTTGGATGAAGAGATGATTGCATTGAGATTGGAAAATAATGCTTTGAATTGGATTTTGAAAATCAAAGTAAGTAGTTTACTATTTCTTTTGAGATGATTTTTTATATTAAATGTGTGGGTGCGTGCGTGTGAATTTATATATATATATAATATGCATTGATGTTTGAGGTTGTAATTAAATGTTTTGAAATTGTGAACTGTTCTACATGTGAATTTTGGAAAACTTGTGAGATGATTTTATATTATTGTTTTGGTAATGAAAATAAAATTGTGTGCATTGGGACTAAAACTAAGATTTTGTTGTGTGTGAAAATCATTTTTATGATATGGGGACTGAGATTATCAAGTCTAAGTAGTAACAAGAGACTGAGTCAATCATCAGGCTAATGATGACAAAAGACTGGGTCAGTTACCTGGCTAGTGGTAATAAGAGAAAGGACCAGTCATCAGGTCAATGATGACAAAAGACTGAGTCAGTCATCAGACTAGTAGTAACAAGAGACTTGACCAGTTACCAGACTAGTGATAACAAACATGATTTGACAAATATATTTGGAACTAAATCTATGTGTGAGTGATTTGCGTTATAAATGTCTTTTTTAGTTATAAAATTATTTGTAATCATGAAATCATTTTGTTTAAATGATTATGTGGGAGGGGTTGAAGAACAATTTGTCGTAATTATGTATGTATAAAAAATTATTTTTTTATATAAACTCTGAAATTTATTTTCATACCTCATTAGAGGTGGTTGTTATTTACGGGTTTTTGTGCTCATCCAAATATTTAACATTTTTCAGGTGAGGATCAGGGGGAGAAGTAAGTCCTCGGATAGACAAGGGATTAAAAGAATTGAAACTTTATTTTATTATAGGTCTTCAAGAATAAATGTCTTTTATAATTTTGAGACAAATATTCAATTATTTTGAAAACAATGTTGCTTATGCTTAGAGTAGTGAACCTCGTGGTTTAATTATTATTTTACATGAGTTTATTAATTACATCGATGATGTTTAGTTTATTCTTCTGGTATTCATTAGATTGATGGATTGAATCACTTTATTATTTGTATTCCGCTGTATTTTGCATTTGTTATGCATAAAATTAATTGATTAAGACCTTGGTGGCCGATCCATCGCCCACTCTATGTGATCTGGGGTGGGGGTGTGACAGGTGGTTAGAACTATTAAACAAGCCAAATTTTAAATATTTTTTTAGGCTCGTTTATATGTAAATAGTTAAACGAGCCAACTCATTTATATTTAAATAGTCAAATTATTATATTTGAATTCAGCTCAATTAACACATTTACAAGTGGTGTGTGAGCACAACTCATACCATCCATGTGGAAAACCTCTCAAAAGGAACCAGGCAAGGATTGCAATCTTCGCGTAATGTGCACAAAATCAAAAGAAAACTGTTACCGGCAATGGTAACCGGTGCATGGATCCCAACTCCCAAGGTAACAAACTTTGATTTTGTATCCCCTCTCCCTATTTTCATAGAAGCTCCACTCATCCGAAGAGACTTTCATTCCCCAAAACCCCCAATTCTAACCCCAATCCAAAAGTACCAAATGGTTAAAATAACATTCTCATAGCTCATTCTCCCTTCACACAAATAAGTCCAACATTATATACAAGCCCAATGAACCAAAATACCCAAGCCCACCACTCTCAAAACCCAAACACCCCATTTGAAATTGAGCAACTGCCACCAACTGTTCTGTTACTCAAACAAATCCCTCCGATAACTTATCACCATATTTCCCCTCCAAAATCCTCGTAACTGTTGATGAATGTATAGTCAGGGTGTTCCACCAACTCTCACTCAAACAAACTCCCGTTGAAGATAGAAACTATAAACCATCCAAAATCTGTAAACTGGAACATGGAATGCTCTCATTCACCCCTGCATCAAATGATACACAAGAAGAGCTCATTCCATCAGAACCAAAACCCATAGACCTGATTGGGCTTGGCAACCCGACTTCCTTGATTGGCCCTAAATCCATACCTCTCATATAACCAGAAAATCCAACAACCTCCTACCTCATAACTGAACCAGAAACACCCCAAATTCTATAAAACAAGAATTCTCCCTAATTCCACCCACCATAGAAACACAAATTCACAAAAAAGGTTAGTTAGGAAATTCTTCAGCAGAAGAGAAACTTGCATCATCAAGGCTACAAGCGAGGCAAATATTCATCAAATTAATGTTCATTAGATAGAAGAAATCCTAATTGTGGCTGAGGAGGTGCGCCTTACCATGACCCCACCTCCATCATGATTGGATGTGTTTAGAACTTTTGAGGGTTAGCCTATGCCTCGATAGTTTGACATCTGAGAGCTCAAATAAAGGAATTTAACACATAATTCCTATTTCTATTTGAAAACAAGATTAAAAATAAGAAAACCAAAAAAATTCTTTCCAGCATAGGATTTATGTATGGCAATCCAAGAACCACGTGGTTTATCAATAGTTCTATGTTTGGGATGGAAAAAAGGAGTGGAAACGATAATTATCTTTTCAAATAGAAGCATCACCTCTTCCATGCTCCTCTCAGATCCACCAGAAAACAAATGGTTGTTGAATAGGGTATATTCACCGGTGAATAGAAGCCAGTAACACTTTTTGTGGGACTTTATGCAACAAATAAACCATAAATTTCTTGGCCCTATATTATATATTGGGGATTTCAACATCACCACCTCTGAGGCTGAAAAAAGAGGAGGCAAACCATTTTCTAGTGCATCTAATGGAGGTTTTGAAGCAATCTTAAACAAGCAAGACCTTATGGACTTGGGTTATGCTGGAAATCCTTTCTCCTAGTCAAATAAAAGGGAAATCCTTGCCAACATCAGAATGTTTAGACAGAGGCATTGTTACTGTAGAATGGAGGATGATATTCCCTAGAGCAACAATCAAACACCTTCCATCTATAAAATCAGACCATGCTCCCCTTCTGCTAAGCACTTATGGAGACCAAATGCAAGCCCCAAAGCATTCAAATTCGAGTCAATGTGGACAAGAGACCAACCAAGTCACCATATCATCCGAGCATCATGGAAGACCAAAGAAAGAGGATCCATTGCTTTTGAATTTTCCAGGAAACTTCAAAAAACAAAACTGGTCCTATGCAAGTGGAACAAAGAAAATATTGGTAATCACATTACAAAGGCAAAATCCTTGAGGAGTAGAATAGATAAATTGCAACAAAAAGAGCCTACCCTAGATAATATCCTTAAAGAGAAAACTTTGGAATCTGAGCTTCGAAAACATCTCAAGAGAGAAAATTTTTGATAGAAGCAATGATCCATAATTCAATGGATGAAATATGGTGATACAAAGATCCAACTCAATTGATTGTCTGAAGCTCCAAGATGGAACATGGACCACTGGCCCTAAAGAAATAGTTAATCAGTTTGTTTCTCATTTCTAAAATTTATTTACTACTTCCAATCCCCAATGCAAACTACTTTTGTTTCAAATAGAAACATTGTTGAAAACCTTATACTAGCACATCTGATAGTTCATCAAACAAAGAGGAAGAAAGGTAAAAGAGGTCTCATGATGGTTAAAATTGATATGGCCAAAGCATTTGACAAAAATTGAATGGTCATTCCTACTTCACATACTTACCCTGTTTGGCTTCCCCCACCAATTCATTAGGCTGCTTGAGCAGTGCATTTCCACGCTCACCTACTCTTTACTCATCAATGGCTCTCCTGTTGAAAAATTTAGAGCTCAAAGAGGTTTAAAGCATAGAGATCTTCTCTCTCCATTCATGTTTATCATATGCTCTGACATTTTATCAAGACTTCTTAGTAGGAAAACTCTGATAACCCGATCCTGTAAAGAATTAAAAATTAAATATTATATGGGTTAATTATAATTATTGAATCTTTAAGGATTTTATTTGGAATCAAAATAAAGTAATATAAATTTTAGGGATTAAAAAAATAAATAAGAAAATATCTTTGATAGCAGGTAAAAATAATGATTTTTGGATAGGTGACATATGTGCACCATGAGGTAGTGATACATGTGCACCATGAGGTCACATGCTTGGAGCCCAAGTATTTTTGGCTATAAAAGGAGCAGTAGCTCATTTGCTATAAACGGAATAAAGAAAGAAAGGAACGAAAGAGAGAGAGAAGAAATAAAACAGAAGAAGAGAAGGGAAAAAGAATGACGAGGCTTTTGTTCTTGATAGTTGATACGGTGGTGGTCAAATTTATCGATATTTTTTGGTGATTTGAATTACGGGTAGTATACAATATATTTTTGTCTTTAAATTTCTTTGTCAAGAATGTCCTATTATTTATCTCAAAGTTCGTTTTCTATTCACTATTTTTAATTAATATAAGATTCTATGTATTTTGTTGAGTTGACCTGTTTTTTAGATTAAATACTTTAGAATTGATTGATATATGTGTAAAGTGTATTTTGGACATATTTGTGAAAAATAATTGTAGCTCCTGCAGGTCTGATAGTTCGATTTGATTATGGTCCTATGGGGTATAACTATTGATATGAGTATGAATTTATATGTTCAAATATCAATTTTCATGTCATCAATATGAACCAAATATAAGGATGTATTTGATAGCAGTTGAGCTATGTGACATATTGAAGTTGATTTTTGATTCTGTTGTTCATGACTACCTATTGATTGAGTTCTTTGATATTTGATCATTTATATTTTTTTATCGTTAAACATATTATTTCTTGACGCCTCGCTTTTAATCTTTGTCAGGTTGCTCTAGGAGGAAAAGACCAGAGTTGAGATATCCAAGAATTGGAGATTGATAGCTTTTAATTTTATTGTTGCAATATATAACTTAAGGATATCCATTTGTAGACTCTAGAGACCATTTAATTTTGAATAATTAGAGCTCTAGCCCATATATTTGAATATTTTGTACAATCGATTTATCAAGTAATACAACCAGAAAATTATAGCGTTTCAGAAACAGAACGAGGAAGGCTTAAAGGAATTACAGTGCAATCGGCGACCTTCTCTTTGCAGATGACCTTCTAATACTTGGCAGAGCAAATGAAAAGGAGGCAGAAGTAATCTTGGGTTGCCTCAATACCCATGAGGAATCGTCTAAACAATCAACAAGGAGAAGTCCAAGATTTTTTATAGTCCAAACTCAGAGACCAGATATCATTGCAGTCAAGTACATACTGGGGCTAGAGAAAGAATCAAATAAATGATCCCACTTATCTAGGCTTGCTTGTGTGGATTGGAAGACACAAAACTAGAGCAATATTTCAACCCATTCTTGACAAATTGGAAAGCAAACTTCAAGGATGGAAAGCAAAAATTCTATCATAAGTTAGGAGATGTACACTCATCAAATCCACTGCCCATACAAAGCCTGCATACACAAATGTAGTCTTTCATGCTACCAAGAACAGTGTGCTCCAAAACTAACAAAAAGATTAGAGGTTTTTGGTAGGGTCATTCAGAGGATCTGGCAACAAATTCTTAGGACTTCATTTGCAGGGCAAAACCTGTAGGAGCTTGGGTTTCTGAAAAGCTCAGGACATAAATAAATCCTTAATAGCAAAGCTGGGGGTGACAACTGGTATCAAATTCTCGTAAGCCTTGAATGTTTTATCATATGTCCCCATAAGATGCATTTAATAAATCTTAGTAAAATAATTTTGACAAAAGGAGTCTATTTTAAATAAGGAATCAAATAAATGAGCCATGAACACGGAAATGGGGCAAGAAATTTGTTGGATGCTTATTATATTGTTCTAAGCATGAAAACGCCAAGTGCATAGCAATAGAAATTACCGTTAGGGTGTTCGCTAAATTGCGTCATTCCAGATGGTGTCATATTCTTATAGTTTTGTTTTGGAATATTGTCATGTTTGTATTAGTAGAAATCATTGAAATTTCAGAATAATTTATGTAATATTATTTAAAAAGATTTATATTAGTCTTACAATCCTAATAAAACAGACTATTCTTCCCAAACACCAACTTAATTTGTTAATTAGTTGTGTTATTTAATAATAGTATCATTTTTTGGATTTGTATCATGCTAGGTTAATGTGTCGATTTAAGTATGGGTTCTTTGGAAGCCGGTATATTTTTTGGATTTGAATTAATCATTGATTTTCTTTCAATTTTACTAGTTAAAATTATGCTTAAAATGGCCAAGATGTAATTCCATAATATTCAAAACTACTTACAAGAAAGAAAATAAGCTATATAAGTATTGGTTTATTTTGTTCGGAGTTGTATATATAAATACAGTTGAAAATTGTCGTATGAAGAACATTTCAACATGCCATTTAAGTTAACTATGAATGGATAGATTTCTAATTACTTTTCCAGTAAGCAGTGGTAGTCCATTCCAAAAACAAAAAGAAATGACAAGTGGATAAGCGAGCGAAAAACTTTTCATAGACTAGTGACGAAAAATGAAATAATTTCTTTTAATTTTCAACTAGTTGGAATCATGTTTCATTGGATGTTTTGTTTTGACTAACAAATAAAGCGAATGAAGATGAAACTAAAATTTTCCTTAAACAAGTTTTTCTTCTTTTAGGTTGTTGAAGAATAATGTAATTGCACCAGAAAATGCTTTTTTTTGAAGAATTATTTTTTCTTGAATGTTTTGTTTCGACTAACAAACAAAGTGAAAGAAAATGAAACTAAATTTTCCTTAAAAGTTTTTTTTTTGCTTTAGGTAGTAAAAGCACTCACAAAAGTAGTAATTTTTTTGTATTGAAAAAAAATGGTAAAAATAATCTGAATTCTTTAAGCACTTAATAAAATAAAATCGTTTGATGACCTAAACTCATATTACTTAATATTTTAAACACTTCTTAAAAATAGACTCAAATTTTAAGTAGTAAGAGCAATTCCAAAAGGCCTCCATAAAACACCATTCTTAACTATTATACATAGGCAATTGGTAAATGCAGTCTCCAAGGGACTAGCTATTTCCCATTAGCATCAGTTGGCTGGCTACTCCTGGCAAGGGCAAAGAAGGTTGTTATTCTGTTTTTTACACCAACAATGCTTCATCATATTTATCATCCAGAAGGTTTCATCGTCTGAATCAGTCCACATAAGGCTTTATCGTCTTCACCTCTCTTGAGAACTGGCTTCATCGCAGAAAGCACAAATTAGTCAATTTTTTTTTTTTTTTGAGATCAATCACCAATATGTGCCTATTGGAATGCATTCTACCTATTTATTAGATTTCCTGTGAACAATTCGATTATTGTGACATTTTGGTTTTTAAGATTTTGATTTCTTACGTTGGGATGAGAACTAAGGGGTTTTTGATGGATTTTTATAATGGGTTTTTGAATATTGGACTGTTGGATTTAGTCTGATTCTAAGGTTTTGGCACCTAACATACCCATACCCATTCACTCACAAAGACCAAAAAGCTCCACAAACAACGTTGGTTCTTCAAGAAGCATCAAATAAGGGCATGTCTGTGTTCCCCTCCCACTTATATTCAATGAGGCACGTCGTAGGAGTTGATTTCCTCCTCAACCCATTTTCTTACGCGGGTTTTTCTAGTTCTGTGCACCTAGTTTTGTTGCTTATTCTATTTATTTCATGGGTTTGCAAGAAAATTAGGACTCATAAGAACGAGGGCCATAAACAGTGTGTTAGAATCACTAGGATCTCGTATCACAAACGAACTATGTTTTTTTTGTCTGGGTCTGTCACTGTTAAATCTTGTTCTATGCTTATTTAGCCACTTCTATTGGTATAGAAATGGTTGGTCTGAGGAAAAGGTTGTAACCCTTTTAGATTTGGTAATCAAAACACTTGCTTGCTTAGTTCTCTCTGTTTTCTTGTACACCCAGTTCTTTAATTCAGGTGCATCAAAGCTCCCAGTTGCTTTAAGAGTTTGGTGGGGGGGTTTTCTTCTCCATCTCTTGTTATTTCCTTATTGTGGACTTTGTTTATTACAAAAAGCACCGAACTTTTTTGGGTGTCTGACATAGTTTGTAGTATTTCTGGATTGTTCTTCTGTTTTATGGGATTTTTAGGTAAGAATGAAGGTGAAAATGCCCTTCTTCAAGAACCCCTTTTGAATGGTAGTGCTAGTAATGGTATAGAGTCGAATAAGTCTGGTGGGGGTGAAACTGTGACCCCTTATTCCAATAATAGTTTCTTTAGTGTCCTTACTTTCTCTTGGATGGGTAATTTGATTGCTGCCGGCTCCAAAAAAACCTTTGGACCTCAAGGATGTTTCATTTTCCCATCAAGACTTATCTGCATTCAGGTTGGTGAATTGGTGCCTGTGGATTGCTTATCATATTGTTATGTACTATTTGTCTAGTTATTGTTGGCTGCGATCTACGGAATATCAATGACTCCATTATGCTTTGGTTCTAAAAGAAGAAATTGGTGTATGATAGTTCATTAAGAATGACAGCCATGATTAAAATTTGGAATTTTGGAACTCTTGATAAATGCATCCAGTATATTCTCTTCTTTGTTTTCTCCTTCGTTCAACTGCTTCACCTATTGATTTTGAATTGTAGGCATTACCTATGCACCCATTCCAACATGATGCGTACTTCACCATCTCATGCATGATAGAACAAATTTAGATGATGAGGTTACAGGTCAATCTTCACCAATATCTCCTCAAGAAGAATCCACCACCAAAAAATGAGGTGGCAATTTTACAGTATAGGAAGGCATTATGATAATCTCGACGTGACTTAATATTAGTTTGGATGTTATGCAAGAAAATGAGCAAAAATCAAAGACATATTGATATAGGGTTTGCGAGTTCTTCCACGAATACAAACCTAAGGTATGCCCTAGTTATAGTCAAAATTCTTTGATGAATTATTGATCAGCAATTTAGCTAGTCACCAACAAATTTTGTAAGTGTTTTGCACAGATAGAAAGACTGAATTAAAGTGATTTGACAGAGAAAGAAAATGTATGAGTGAATATTTTTCTTACAAAATAGTGTACTTTTAATGACATAATAATGAATTTTGTTGTAAAATTTTTCAGATTCGGGATGCCAAAAACTTGTACAAGGAACTCTATAAATCTTCTTTTCAGTTTGAACATTGTTGGAATGAGTTAAGGTANAAAACTTGTACAAGAAACTCTATAAATCTTCTTTTCAGTTTGAACATTGTTGGAATGAGTTAAGGTATCAACCAAAATGGATGGAGGATTCTCAAACAAAGAAGCAAAAAATAAAACATAATGCAACTCCTAGCAGTTTCATGCCTTCTACAGAGGACTCCGTAAATTTAAGAGATGATGGTGAGTCCTACAGATCCTTAGATAGGCCACCTGAAAGGAAAGCTAAAAAAGCATGACTACGAAAATCAAAGAGCAAATAAGATGGAGGTGATGCAACAAGTTCTGAACTCGTTAATCTGTTAGCAGATATGAAGGAAGATAAAAAGATAATGAATGAGAAGAAATTTGAAATGTTTGACAAATGTTATCTTCAAGAATAGCAACATCTACTGCAAGAGAAAGAGAGAATGCAAATGGAGCANAGCAGATATGAAGGAAGATAAAAAGATAATGAATGAGAAGAAATTTGAAATGTTTAAAAAATGTTATCTTCAAGAATAGCAACATCTACTGCAAGAGAAAGAGAGAATGCAAATGGAGCAACTAAGAGAGAAAGATCGAATAATGTTGATGGATGCGAGTTGCATGTCTCCGTTGCAAGCTGAAAATTATCAGCGTCGCCAAATGAAAATCTTGGAGAAGAAGATGTAGTTCTTTTTTATTAATAGACAAATAACTTTAAGTAGTAGAAATAATGCTACAAGTACTGTAATAACATTTGCTTAAGTAGTATCTAGTAGTTTTCATGCATATTCCACTAATGCTCGACTAGATTAGCTTGGTTTGTAATGCAGTGTTGAATATTAATAAATTGAAGCAGTTCTGAACTCCGCTCAGGTATGACTGTGACAGTGGTACTCTCATCCATTGTATCATAACTAAAGTCTAACTCATTAACGTTTCACTCATCTTTGAAAATCATGTTATGTAATATTATGCATGTCTTCATAATATCCTTAAACACTTCAAGTGTCCAGAAACGTGCTAGTCCACACACTATAGCAAATCGTGCTTGGAGNATCTTTGAAAATCATGTTATGTAATATTATGCATGTCTTCATAATATCCTTAAACACTTCAAGTGTCCAGAAACGTGCTAGTCCACACACTATAGCAAATCGTGCTTGGAGCACTCCAAATGCTCGCTCAACATCTTTGCTTGCCGACTCTTGAGATTTTGAAAAATGTATTTGTTTATTGCCTCTTGGAGATTAAATTGTTCTGACAAATATTGTCCATTTTGGATATATACCATCAGTAAGGTAATGTCCCATTGTATAATTGTTTCCATTGACTGAGAAATTGACAACAGAAGCCCGACCTTCTGAAATGAAAGTAAAAATAGAAGAGTGTTCTAGTATGTTGATATCATTATGAGATCCAGGTAACCCAAAAAAGGCATGTCAAATTCAGAGATCATATGAAGCCATCGCCATCAAAATAATTGTTGGTTCATGGACGTGACCAAATAACATGCCTTTCCATGTTGTTGGATAATTCTTCCATTTTCAATGCATACAATCAATGTCACCAAACATTCTAAGAAACCCACGATTGGTACCCATTACTAATAATTTAGCAATNAACATGCCTTTCCATGTTGTTGGATAATTCTTCCATTTTCAATGCATACAATCAATGTCACCAAACATTCTAAGAAACCCACGATTGGTACCCATTACTAATAATTTAGCAATGTCATCGTTGTTTGGTGACCTGAGGTATTCATCGAAAAAAATTACACCTACCGCTCTCACAAATCTTTTCAAACTTTCTATTGTGGTGTTTTCACCAATTCTCACATAATTATTAACAACATCTGTTGTAACTCCATAAGCAAGCATCCTTATGGCGGCTGTCATCTTTTGAAAGGAAAATAAACCAGTAATTTCAACAACATCATTTTTTTTTGACAAAATATGGATCATAATCTTCCACCATTGCTAGAATACGTAAGAAAAGGTCTCAATTCATTCAAAACTTTCTTTGAAATAAATTTGGGGAATAGATAGAAGATTCAGCAAAATAATCACGATACAGTCTCTCGTGCCCTTGAACTCGATTGCGAAAAATAACTGAATAAAGAGTGCAATGTCAATAAATAGATTTGAGGTGTATGACAATGAGAGATAGAAGATCCTATTTATACATATCCAAAAATATGACCGTTGTAAATATGACCGTTGCAAATATAATCGTTACAAATATGAACGTTACAAATATGACTGTTGCAAAATTCAAATTTTAAAATTTTGAATTACATTACCGTTATTAATAAAAATTAAAATTTTAAAATTTTGATGATGTGATGTAACACATCAACATGTGATGTCATCAATATGATGATGACATGGCATACTACATAGTATTTTAAATTTTAATAATTAATAGTTAGTTAAAGTGATTAAGTAAAATAGATAGTGTGGTTGAAATGAATCTAAAAAAGTGGTTAGTTAAAGTAGATAATATAATATTACCACTATTGTGTCGCCGCCACCATCGCTACCACCATTGCGTCACTGCTACCACCACCATCACTGTCACCGTCACTATTGTGTCACCGCTACCACCAGTACCACTATCATTATCACTATCACCACCATCACTACCATTATGTCGCCGCCACTACCACCATAACCACCATCGCTAATGCCANTCAAAATTTTAAAATTTTGATGATGTGATGTAACACATCAACATGTGATGTCATCAATATGGTGATGACATGGCATACTACATAGTATTTTAAATTTTAATAATTAATAGTTAGTTAAAGTGATTAAGTAAAATAGATAGTGTGGTTGGAATGAATCTAAAAAAATGGTTAGTTAAATTAGATAATATAATATTACCACCATTGTGTCGCCGCCACCATCGCTACCACCATTGTGTCACTGCTACCACCACCATCACTGTCACCGCCACCATTGTGTCACCGCTACCACCAGTACCACTATCATTATCACTATCATCGCCATCACTACCATTATGTCGCCGCCACTACCACCATAACCACCATCGCTAATGCCACCACTACATTAGGCCACCGTCACCGCCATCACCACCACCACCACTACCACCATTGTCACAATCATTGTGTCGTCGTCGCCACAATTACCAACATGTCATCGCCACCACCATCATTGTACCATCGCTATCGCTACCAACATCACCATTGTCGCCTCTACCACTACTACCATTGTGTCATTACCACTACTACTGTCATTGTCACTCCCACCACTATCACTATCATTGTGTCGCCTCCACCACCACTACCATTGAGCCACCGTCACTACCATTGTCGCCACCACTACCACCATAACGGTCATCGCTAATGCCACCACTACTATTAGGTCACCGTCACCGCCATCACCACCACCACTTCCACCACCACCATTACCACCATTGTCACAATCATTGTGTCGTCGTCGCCACAATTACCAACATGTCATCGTCGCCACCATCATTGTACCACTGCTACCGCTACCAACACCACCATTGTCGCCTCTACCACTACTACTATTGTATCATTACCACTACTACTGTCATTGTCACTCCCATCACTGTCACTATCATTGTGTCGTCTCCACCACCACTACCATTGAGCCAGCGTCACTACCATTGTCGCCACCATCATCATTATGTCACCACCACCACCAATGTTGTCACCACCTATAATGGTGGTGATAAAAATAAGACAATTACAGAGAAATAGTTAAAGATAAGGATAAAATTATAATAATAATAATTTTAAAACTTCAGCTTTTTATATTTGTCAAATAATTTGATTAAATTAATATTTAAATTTCAGTTGATACTAAACAATTTGCAAATTAAAAAATTTAGTATTTAGTGCTTAAAATTCAACATTCAGTTTTCAATGTTATCAAACACCACCATAGTAACTAAATTGAATTATACGATCAAATATATGTTATATTTATTTTTTAGTATGAAATAATATAATAATATTATAAGCGATCTAATCAATCTATTTAACAAAATAAAAAATAATAATTTTATAATATAATTAGATGTACAAATGCCTAAAAGGATCGAAAAAATACTTAAATAAATAACAGATTAGGTACTCGAAGACTTATAGAATAAAGTCAATAAACTAATAATTAAAATATGAATTATTTAGCAAGTAGTTTTTTATTTAATTTAATTACACATAATTTACATTTTTTATAAAAAAATATTATTTAAATTTATTTACGTTTC